CATTGAGTTCAGGAGTTTGAGACCAGCCTGGGCAACGTGGCGAAACCCAATCTCTACAAAAAAAGAATACAAAAATTAGCCAGGTGTGGTGGTGCATGCCTCTAGTCCCAGCTACTTGGGAGGCTGAGGTGAGAGGATCACGTGAGCCTGGGAGGCAGAGGTTGCAGTGAGCTGAGATGGCACCACTGCACTCCAGCCTGGGTGACAGAGTGAGACCCTGCCTCAAAATAAAAATACAATAAAATAAATAAAGTGGTTTGTGTCCACACTCTCACCCCACCCCTCAACTTGAACTATGGGAACAACTGGTTCAATTCTCCATCATGCTTCAGTTATCCAAATCTAGAAGAGTCCTGCCCAGCTCTGAAAACATTAAGAAAATGGGAAGGGGGGTGTGGTGAGGAACAAGAGGGAGAGGAAGTGTCCTGCCCTGGAGGGTTAGGGTGGGAGTGGAGGCTTCAAAGCCTCAACCTCATGCCTGCAGGTGGTCCTGATCATGAAGGATATTTTAAGGACTCCTCCCTCACCCACCCCGCCAGACTCCTTCTAGGGCTGAAGGATTCATTCCCACCATCTTAGAGGGAAGGGGTGAGACAGCAGGACATTTTGTTTCCCAGAAAAAGCTCAGGTCAAATTTCAAGGACAAAAGTTAGCACTTGGTCTGGGAAAGAAAACTCTGCTAAGTGGAATAAAGGGGGAGGGGGAGAACTCCAGTGAGGTCATTCCAGGTCCCTGGGGGTGCGGGGAGGAATCGGAACTCTGATTGTCCCTGCCAGGATCTGTCTGGCAGGATAATGGGTATCGCTGCCTCACAAACCAGAAGTACTCAGACCACCCCCTACATTTCTCCTCTGTCCAAAAATGGGGAGTGGCGTGCTGTGGTACTAGTTTTGGGGTCCCATCCACTATCCCACCCCACCCCCAGCCCAACAGACTTGGTCTGAGTGGAAGAGGGTGGTGCCAGGAAGGGCTTTCCAGCCCAGAGATGTGGCCCAAACTGCTAGGAGAGGGACCGGTAGCTGGCTGTTGTTGCCATGGCAACTTCCTCCCTGCGCTGGATCGAAGCTTCCATCCTATGGGCAAATCAGAGCTGGCTGCTCCAGCTTCTCCGCCCTTCTCCCGGGTGGGAGGGGGAGAACTGGACGCTGAAACCACTTGGAGAGGCTCAGGAACACCATGCTCAATTCCAGACCCTGATGTAACAACCCCCTTAGGCATCTGCTGGAAACTAGAGACACCCTAGCTCCCCAGCTAGGCCCCAAGGCAGAGTGTCAGGGCTGGGACTGTAGATGTGACTGGTGCAAATGAAGTGGTCAGGAAGAGCAGGGAAACAGTGGCTGAAATCCTCCCTAACCTCTTGATTGGCAGGCAAGTCCCCTAAATCCCTGTTTAAGCCACTTCAAAGACAGAAGGCCCCGGTTCTACCTTAATAATTATAAAGATGCAATAAAATTAGTCTGTTAAAATTATAAAGCTAACATTTTGAGAATCAGCCTTCTCCGCTCCCCAAACCCACAGATTCTTTTCTATGGTCACATTCAGAAACAACTCTTTCTCTGTACTAAGACCTTTGCACGGCACAAACAGCATACATAATAGTTGATTAAAAGCATAGATGCTTGGGTCAGATTGCCCAAGTTCAAAGCTTCACTCCTTCACTTCCTGGCTGAGTGACCTTGAAGGAATTACTATGTCTGTGCCTCAGTTTTCTCATCTGAAAATGGGGATGTTAACAGATTAGCAGTTTTATTGGCTTGCAATGAGGAATGCGTTAATACATTTAAAATGCCTGGGAATATGTCTTGCACAAAGGTAGTCATTTGTAAAATGTTAACCCTATGCAGTCCATGTTATTATTTTTCTTCTCCTCACAGGTACAAAACTGAGACCACATATCTAACTTCTCCCCAATTACAAACCCAGTGCCAACAAGGCTGGGCAACAAAACACAGACACAAAAACACCCCTAGGGACATGCTTCCCTAAAGCCCTGGCATCCTTGTGAAAGAGGGCAAAAGAAGCATTGCAAGAAATAGGTTCAAAGTGCATGAAGGAAGACGCCCCTGGAGAGGAATTCTACAAACCAGTAAGGACCAGCATCCTGGGCCCAAGGGTGGCTGAGGAAGGGGCAGCTTCAAGTGCCCACCCCAATGGCCAAGGCTCCCAAGTCCAACTCAGGAATGTGTTCTGCCGCAGTTAAGGCTAATGAGAAAAAGGCCCTTTCTCACACCATTTCTCAGAAAACTAGCAAAAGGGTGGCAACTAAACACTGAAGATAGCTCTAGCTCGGTCTGGCTGGAAAAAGATGCATTCAACATGAGGTGGAAGCTGCAACAAAGGGGAGGCTCCTAGATGAGCCGGAGGCCTGTCAGGGACACACTTCTGAGACGGAGCCAGCAGAGACAGACAGGCATTAAGAAGGCCAGCGGAGGGAGGAGAGAAGAGGCAAGTGGAGCCATGCCCGTGTCCAGTATGGAAGAGACCATTTAGAAATCAGTTCATCACAGTGCTGTTCTAAAAGAATAAATCCAAAAGGCTTCTTTTAGGAGAAAATTAATGACTTTAAGGAGAACAAGAGAAATAAAGCACCAAGACAATGCTGCCTACTTCCGACTTTCACCAGTCATTCATTATGCTTCCGGAAATGAAAGTTGACTTTCTCCCTCCCCCTCCCAAATTTGAAGCATACCTCAAGAACAGAGAGTGAGCACAAGATGACCAAACCAAACTCTTGGCTGCCAGCAGCGCCCTCAAGCCTCCTCACCTGGGAACCATTTTCCACACGGTGAGGTCTGGATTTCTCAAAAATCCTCTTTCAGAGGGAGGGCTACTGGTTTACTGGAAAGAGAACCATAAACCTGATTTTAGTCTTAGCTCTGTGGCTGCCTCACTAGATGACCTTGGATTATATACAGCCCCCCCCGCCCAATTCCAGGGCTTCAGTCACACACATACAAACACACTCACACAAATACACACACACACCCATCCACTTGGGGGCAAAAAGGGGATAGACAGGATGATTTCTAGGTCTCTTCCAAGTGAAACGCTAAGGAAATTCAAAAAGCCTGCTGGGAAAAAAATATGAGTGGACCTTTAAAAATATCACTAATACTACATGAAGTTATCTGTTCTGACTTAAGTGAAACCAGAGCAAATTGCCTGCAGCCTGCAATAACCAAGGTGTTTGACCCATGACACAGAGCATGACTTTGAAGAAAAACCAAACTGTTCCTGCCTTCCAATGCTCCTACAAACGCATGCTCCTGCCCAGCTTGGCTCTTGAGACACAAGTGGCCTGCTGACCACTCTACTGTGTTAGGGAGCCCCCTACTCCTTCCCACCTTGCCTTCTCCAGAATAATAATACAACCTCCCTCAGCTACATCAAGGGGGAAGTTAAACCTCTGAGCCTCTGGTTTTTTTTTTTTTTTTCCTGTAAAATGGTGATTGTAAAAATGGTAAAATGTCTCTGTCATAACCATTTTTACCCTTACCCCCACCCCCAGCTCCAGGTCGATAGAAAGCCAGGTCTATTGGGGATCTACCTCACCTATCCCCATTCACTTACCAGCCAACAAATTCTTCTGGAAAACGAGAGGGAAGACATGAGCACCACTTCATCCCAAGCTGGAACCCTGGTGGCCAGTTTGACGAGACAAGGGTCCCCAAAGACTAAGTCTAAACCTGGGCACAAGAACTTCCTAAAACCGTAGGCTACGTTTTGTGGATGGTGCATACATGTACTTTGGGAGAGACAGTCCATATTTTCTTCAGAGATTTGAAAGTGCCCATGAAACCATTTTGCTCCTCCAGCACATACACTCCTGTTTTGTCCCCTCATTGAATTCAAATACTCCTGGATTTTCAGCTCACAAAACACTGAACACCCTCACACTATACATACACCTTGCATCTATACAACGATCCCCATTTCAGAGATGAGGAAATCCAGGCTCAGGGGTGGCATGACTTGCCCAAGGTCACAGCTAAGGAGTAGAGAATGAAGACTGGAATCTGATTCTGATTCCCAATCTGGCCTTCTTTGGGGAGCTCTGACCGAAGGCCTCTAGCTACCCCACCTGTTGATGGATTCCCTTTCTCATCCCAGAACCAAATCTGGAGCTCTCATTTTCCCTCTGCCGGGTCCTAGGGCCCCAAAGAGTAGGTTTCCCTACAGCTCCCCACCCCTCGCTCTGGCTGAGGTTGTGCGCAGGCCTGGGAAGAGGAGGTTCAAGCCCCTGGATGGTGCCGGCTTCAGCCCACCAAGAAAGGCGACTCCAGGAACAAGAGCACCTGAGGTCAGGGGCACCCACCAGCGGGCGCGCAAGTGTAGAGTTGGCGCTGCCCTACACCTCTCTCCGGGAAGAGAGGGGAGGATAGGCCAATCACCTGGCCGGTTCCCCTCCATCTGCCCCAGGCGTAAAAGAAGCAGGAGTCTGGAGCCCAAGCCGATAGGGGAAGGAAAGGAGAGACAAATGGGGGCGCTCAAGGCCTCTGGCGCCGGGCAGAGATCCCCTGGATGCGGCCAAGACAAAGATGGAGAGGTAAGGTCTGCGCGCCACCTCCAATGGCTGGGAGGGGGGCGGGGGGGCGCATCAGAGCCCCAAGGGTGGGACAGCCAAAGCCCCGGGCTTGAAGAGCGGGCACATTCAGGAGACTCAGGGACGGTGGCAGGTAGGATCCAGGGATGAGGCAGGGGGCATCCAATAGGCACAGGTGAGGAGGTAGAGCTAGGTCCTGGCGACCCAAAGGGCCCACCTGCGGGAAAGGTGAATGCCGACGATCTTGGGGTACCTGGAGGAGAAGGCCAGAAGACAGCGCATCCTGGAGACCCTAAGGTCCCGTGAGTGCCGAAGGAGACCCTGGGGGCGCCTTTCCAGGCGGTTGGGGGTGGGGAGGAGAGCTTGGCCACCTTTAAGGGCGCACGGGTCGGGGAGGGGGCCTTGGGACCTGGATCCCGGGACACCCCCGGGGTCTGGGGGCGGGCCGCGCGCTTACCTGCGTCCTCGTCGTCGAAGGAGTTCATGCACGGGAAGTAGATGGCTAGCGCCTCGAAGGAGGCTGACAGACTGAGGCGGCTCTGCGAGCGCTCCATGCCAGCGCCGGCGCCGGGCGCCTCGGCCGCAGCGGCGGCGGCGGCGGCGGGCGGCTTGGGCAGCTTGGCCGCCCCATTCTTGACGCGGAGTACGGCGCGAGGCGTGGTGGCGGCGGCCCGGGGCCGGGCCGGGGCTCCGCTGTGGGGCTGGCGGACGCGGCGGGGCCGGCGGGCGAGCCAGGAGCTGGCGGCGCGCGGAGCCCGAGGCGCACTGTGCTCCGGGCGGCGGCGGCTGTGGCGGCGCAGCGCGCTCTGGCCCGCGGCGCCCCTTGTCGGCCGCGCGGGGCGGGCTCAGAGCGGCGCCGCAGCCAATCCGCACAGCCGGGGGAGGGGGCGCCGCCGCGGGGCGTGGGAGCCGGGAGGGTGCGGGCTGCGGCCCCTCTTCGCGGTTCCCGGCCCGGCAGGTCTGCGCTAGGAGGCAGGCACGGGGCGAGGTTGGCTGGGCCCTGGTCGGAGGGCCGTCCCCCGACCCCACCGCGGCCCCCACCCTCAGCCAGCGGACTCGCCCTGAGGCCGGCGTCCAGTCCCCCACCCGGACAGGCCTCACCCTGAGACACGGGCACGCTTGGAGGGGACGCCCTCAGAGGGTCCCGCCCAGGCCGGTTGGCACTCGGCCTCCTACACAAAGACCCTCAGCTTCACACCTGCACCCACAGAGAAGCTCAAACAGGCACCTACACCTACACATGGACTCTGCAGCATGCCCCGCAGACACCCGGACAGATACAGCCACAGGCCCACCCCTCACACACGCAGGGACAGACACGTCCACGGACACACGCAGACTCACGCAGAGACCTGCAGACACGCTCAGGGAGGTAGGCAGGACACCCCTGGTGCCCGGCCTCCCACATGGGGAGACTCTCAGATGCCACAAAACCCCAGAAAAGTTCAGATAGGCATACACAGTCTCACGCATTCACACTTACAGACACAGCAGAATTCATACACAGTCATACACTCAGATGAACACACAAGTCAGACCCTGCACACACTCTGTGTCACCTCCCCCGTGACCACCTCAGCACTGTCAAACACTGACACGGCCAGATGCACACACCATCACCCTTGGACACACTTAAGTAGCACACACAGGCCAAGACACTGCCACACAGACTCCATCCCTCCCAGCGTGGTGCATCCTGACTGATGCACTGACACCCTCAGACTCAGGCACAGTGAGACACACTCTGCAGGCTCACACTCACAGACTCTCCCCTTATCACCCTCGACCCCCCACAGTCCTCAGACACACATGGGCTCAGACACTCGCAGCCCCAGGACACAGATGAGCAGAATCCAAAACCCACGCTCCATTCCCTGCATGTGACCTGGGACATGATGGTCCCTGCCCACCTAATCAGGCCCCAGATGTCAAACAAGTTCCCAGCTGCTCACATACCTCTTTATGAAGCCATCTGGTGACATGGAAACAGTTCAGGCCTCAGAAAGAGAAAGCCCAGAGTTTGAATCTCAGCTGCAGTGCTGTCTTTCTGGGTGGCCTATGGCAAAATCCTTTACCTCACAGGTCTTGTTTCTCATCTGTACAATGGGGACAGGAACCTTCCATCTTGGACAGTTGTGAAGCGTCTGTAAGATAACACGGGTGTTTGTTTTCTATTGCTGCCTAACAAATCAAGTGGCTTAAAAACACCAATCTAGTGGTTTGTGATCCTGTAGGCTCAGAAGTCTGGGTAGCCCCAGCTGGGTTCTCTGCTTAGGGCCTCACAAGGTATTGGCCGGACTGGGCTCTTCTCTGCAGGCTCTGGAGAAGAGTCCACTTCCAGGATCATCCAGGTTGTTGGCAGGATTCAGCTCCTTGTGGTGGCAGGATTCAGTTCCTTGTGGTTGCAGGACTAAGGTTCCTGTTTCCTTGCTGGCTGTCAGTCAGAAGTCGATCTCAGCTCCTAGAGGTAGCTTTCTGGTCCTTACACATGGCCCCCTCCACCTTCAAGGCCAGCCTCAGAATGTCAAGCCCTTCTCATCCTTCAGTAGAATCTTTCTACCTTGCCTTCTGCTTACTGACCTGAGAAACTGCTTTTAAAGATCTCATGTGGCTGGGTGTGGTGGCTCATGCCTGTAATCTCAGCACTTTGGGAGGCTGAGGTGGGTGGATCATGAGGTCAGGAGTTTGAGACCAGCTTGAACAACATGGTAAAACCATGTCTCTACTAAAAATACAAAAATTAGCCAGATGTGGTGGCGTGTGCCTGTAATCCCAGCTAATCAGGAAGCTGACGCAGGAGAATCGCTTGAACCCAGGAGGCAGAGGTTGCAGTGAGCTGAGATTGCGCCATTTCACTCCAGCCTGGGTGACAGAGCGAGATTCCATCTCAAAAAAAAAAAAAAAAAAAAAAAAAAAAACTCATGTGATTAGAGATCAGGTCCACTCGCATGATGTCCCTTTGACATATAATGTTAATATAATCATGGTAGCAATTTCTGATCATGGTCACAGTTTCCACCCACACTCACACAAGGGCAGGCTCATACAAGGGATTATACAAGGGCAAGGATCACTGGAGTTATTCTGACACATCTGCCCATCACAGTATGCAAAACATCTAGCACAGTGCTGGCCTTCAGCAGGTGCTCCTGAGCTCTAGCCCCTTCCCAGGGAGCAGACTTAGACTTTGAGGCTGCCTGGTGTCACGGTTAAGAGGGCTGGTATCATCATCCCCACCTTGGTCAATGCATTTTTCCACTTGTTCAGATCAGAAATCTTACATACTTAACTCCTCTCTCACACACACCACATTTATCCACCAGCATCTCCTGTCATTTCTATACACAAAATATAACCAGAAACTGACCACTTCTCTACTTAAAACCCTCCCATCTCACAGTCAAAGTCCAAGTTCTACAAGGGCCTAACTTCTTTGGCTGTGCCACCCCTCTGTCCTCATACCCAGGACACTCCAGTGGCTCACTTGGCTTCAGAACCTCTGTTCTGCTGTTCCTGCTGCCTGAAGCCCTCTCCCTTGCAGAGGGAGCATAGCTCACTCACAGATCTCTGCCCCAATGTCACCTTCCCTGTGAGGTCTTCCCTCAGCACTCTTTATGAAGTAGCAAAACCCCTCCCTGAAATGCCAAATCCTCTCTACTCTGCTTTATTTTTCTCTGAAGCCCTCATCACCATCTGACACGTTTTATATATATGTGTGTGTGGTACGTGTATCTATACGGACACACACATATGTACGTACATGTGTGTATATGTGTATGTGTTTGGATATATATACACACACGCATACACAACACACACGTTTTTTCTTGTTTATTTGTTTATTGTCTCCTTCTCCCCCTCCCCAGAGCCCAGAAGGATTCCTGGCAAAAAGTTGGTGTTCAGTAAATAGTTGTTGACTGAATGCATAAACTCTCACACCAGCCTTAGGAAGGAAGGAGATGCATTTTCTTTGCATCCTCTTCCCATTTTACAGATGAAGAACTGAGGCTTACAGAGGGGAATGGACTTACTCAAGGTCACAGTGAGTGGATGTCTGGTCAAAAATGGTGGGTGGGTCCGGGCATAGTGGCTCACACCAGTAATCCTAGCACTTTGGGAGGCTGAGGTGGGTGGATCACATGACTTCAGGAGTTCGAGACCAGCCTGGCCAACATGGCGAAACCTTATCTCTACTAAAAATACAAAGATTAGGCAGGTGTGGTGGTGGACACCTGTAATCCCGGCTACTTGGGAGACTGAGGCAGGAGAATCACTTGAACTCAGGAGGTGGAGGTTGCAGTGAGCCGAGATCTAACAACTGCGCTCCAGCCTGGGCAACAGAGGAAAAACTCCATCTCAAAAAAAAAAAAAAAAAAAAAAAAAAAGTGGTGGGTGGGAATCTAACCCAGCATAAGGAGATGGAAGAAGGCTTCCCTGAGGATGTGATGTTTAAGCTGAAAATAGCACCTCCTATGTGCCTGGACTTCTTGGTGTGATTTCTCCTTTCTTGGTTAGCTCATGCCTAAAATTCCATCAATAGGGTTTGGGGCTTTGTAAATCATTACCCTTTGTAAATATGTAATGTTTTCCAATGAGGAATTTAAGTGGTCAGCCACTTACACCTGAGTATGAATAATGCATTATAAGAACAAGTTTGAGGGGTGGAGAGGGATGCTTGAGAATATGAATGAGGGAAATGGTGGATGTGGAACCAGAGAAGGAAGGGATGGGAAACCAGGGACAAACCTCCAGGTTGGACTTCACAGCCCAGTGAGATGGAGGATGCTGAGAACCAGGCAGCTCAGCGCAATGGAGTGGAAGAAGCATTGCCTGACTTGGGTTTAAACGTCTGTCCTTGTTTTATTTATGTGACCTTGGGTAAGTTCCCTCAAGGTTCTCATCAAAAAATGAGAATAATAGGCCAGGCACAGTGAGTCACACCTGTAATCCCAGCACTTTGGGAAGCTGAGGCAGGAGGACTACTTGAGGTCAGTAGTTTGAGACCAGCCTGGCCAACATGGCAAAACCCTGTCTCTACTAGGAATAAAAAAATTCCCCAGGCATGGTGGTGCACGCCTGTAACCCCAGCTACCTGGGAGGCTGAGGCACAAGAATTGCTTGAACCCAGGAGGCAGAGGTTGGAGTGAGCTGAGAGCACGCCACTGCACTCCAGCCTGGGTGACAGAGTAAGACTCTGTCTCCGAAAAAAAAGAATAATTAACACTTCTTTGCACAATCGTAGTGGAGATTGGATGTATACAGAGTGTGTCGCATATAATAGGTACTTGATAGATACATTTATTGAATGTAAGCTCCAAATGCTCACTTTTGTACCCAGCTCTACAAATACAGGGATGAATAAAACAGACCTGGTCTCTGCCTTCATGAAGCTTATTGTTTGGTAATGTTAAACAAATAATTATGACAATAATTATTTAAATTATTTAATTACTACCTTATCTAATAGTCACATAATAATAAGAATTTGAATTGCAATTGTGATAAGTGCCATAAAAAGATATGAATCTATATAGTGTGTGTGTGTGTGTGTGTGTGTGTGTGTGTGTGTGTGTGTGTGTTTGATATAGGGTGAGATAGGGTCTTGCTATGTTGCCTAGGCTGGTCTTAAACTCCCAGTCTCAAGCAATCCTCCAAGTCTTGGCCTCTCAAAGTAGGTAGGATTATAGGCATGTGCCCCCATGCCCAGCCCAGTACCTATATACTTTGCAGTGCACATGTGTACATGTGTGTGCAGCTGCCAGTGGGAGGAGAATCTGACCCAGCATTACAGGATGGAAAAAG